TTGTCACACTGATGCCTGCCTGTGCTGGAAGCTGCTGTGCTCCCTGTCCCTACAGATGTCCTTGCATACATACTCTTTCTCTTCAACCCGCTGCAAGCTCCCAGAGGAACCAGCCCATACCCAGACCTCTCTTGATGTGATGCACACACGGCAGGTGCCCAACAGCTGTTTGTTGGCCATGGGCTGGGTTCCAGAAAGGAGGGGGGGTGGCAAGCTCCATCAAAAACAGGAGCCAATTCTCCACCCCCAGCACAGCCCAGCTCCCTGGCTACTGCCCAAGGCCCGGCCGTCATCTGCTCTGGGTAATAAGTATTTGTATGGCGATAATTACAGCATTTGGGAAGAAAATCCCATTAAGCGAGAGTCCTGCCGAGCTGCTAATGCCGGCACAGAACTGGAGGCGGCAACTCCGCCAAACGCCTGCCCGTCTGCTCCCGATGACGCGGGGGGCTGCCTGTCCCCACCGCCCCACACGGGCCCCAAGAGAGCATGGACGCCCCTGCTAGCAGCCTTCCGCAGCTCCTAGCACGACATCGAGAAGGGGTACCGAGGAAGGACTCCCAGCCACTGCCTGGTATTGCAGGGATCGAGCACTGAGTGGTCTCCGAATCCTTTTATGTCCCTGGAGCTCTCTGTCACGTTAATAACAATGATAATCACGCCGCTTATTGGGCACTTGTTTCTGCCAGGCTCTGTGAGGCACACAGCACCTCTCTGCCTATTATGGAGTTCAATCCTCTGGCCCAGTCTTTGAAGCAGGTCCTATCATTACCCCCACTGCATGGGCAAGAAACTGGGGGTTTGAAGCAGTGCACTCCTCCCAAACACTTATCTCAATTTGCAATTATGTCTTTATTCTCCTATCAGCCATTCTTCTCGCTCCCCTGCTGGACAGGAACTTGGGGAGAGGCGGTTTCTCCTTCCACTAGGCAAAATGCTCGGTAGACAACAGCTATCTGTTGAATGAGGGAATGCAACCCCACAGGATGCCCCAGCTGCCAAGAGGCAGAGCAAGACTAACAAAACGCCAGACAGGCGATACCAGAGGCGTGCCATCACGACCCCCACCCTGCAGCGTCCCTTCTTCCTGTATCCAAAGTGCAGGGGGCCAAAGGAAAGATGCCCAAGTACGACCACATGCTCTGAGCAGCAGGAGCCCAGGAGAGCAGCCTGAAGCATGGCCAAGCCTCAGCAAGGACCTCCCGAGCCTACCCCGACGTGTTAGTCTCTAGCATGGGCCTCTCACAGCGTTAGCACCCAACATTCCAATTGCGGAGCATCTCATAAGCACATTATGAGTGGATCCTTGGGAAGGTCTTATGGGATAGGAGATATTATTCCCACGGACTAAGGGAAGGCGACACCAGTCACGTGCCACCAGGCCCCAGCGTATTTCCTGCAAAGCTGTCATTATCTCCTTTACATGTGAAGGTGAAGGGCCACAACTGGGTCCTGTACCAGTTGCTCAGAGTCCAGCACTGAGCTCAGCACACTGGCTACTATGCCAGTACCAGTGAGAGCAGGAGACCCACCCCTCCCAGGGCCACCTCCCCTGCTCAGAGCAGTTCCCTGCTCTAGGACCCCTCAATCCCAACACTGTATGGACTCTGAATGGGCCCCCCAAACCGTGAATGTGACCATCCAGCCCTATGGAATGCAGCTTCAGGGAATGGAGCCCAGGCTAGCCATGAACTTTGGCAGCATGCATGCAACTAGAGTGAGATAGACCCACCAGCAAAAGGGTACAGGGACATAGACAACAGCAAGAAAGCAAGTCTCACAGCCTGACAAGTGACAGAATGTGGTAGATCTGGGGGCAGATGGCATCCTGACCTTCCAGGGGCCCTGCCCCCCCATCCTTGGATGACCTAATGGAAGGCTCAGCAGACGTCTCACCCCTCTCTGCACCCACAGGAGACTCAGTGGCAAGCCCAAAATACAGGTGCCATGAGGGTGGGGCAGCACAGTGTCCACAGAAACTAAACCTGTTTGTCACACTCCTGGATACTCTAGTGCAAACCAGTGTTTACATTAAGGGGGAAAAAACCGCGAAGGTCAAGATGGAAGGATGAAAGTTAACATTTGGCCAACATGGCTGAGTCCCTCTGAGCCTGGGCCCTACAAAGATGTGACTCTTGCAAGGTCTTGGCAGCAGGTCTCCAGTCCTCACGCTTCACTGTAATTGTTCCATTACAGTGAATTATTTAGCATCCCTTCCCATCAGTCCACCCAGCCCTTGGCCTCTGTGGCCGGACCAATTTCCTCAGCAGCACTGGGCCTTCAACAAGCTCCTCCCAGAAGTCTCCACAGAAAGCCATGGCAATTTCTTTCCACTTGGGAGGACAGGTGTGAACCCAGAGTTATAGAATATACGGTCATTAGGTTGCTGGGACCCCTGGGCTACCACCAAAGATGCCCAGAGGACTGGCAGACAAGCACACGGCCTACAGGAATCTCCCAGCCTGGAGAGCGGCTGTCCCTAAGCGGCACATCTCTCTGCTCCTCTAAGAGGCTCACCCTGGATTCCCACATCCCCAAGAGTAATGTGAAGCTGGAGAAAGGCTTCCCTGGCCCTTCCCAGTCTCTCTTTACAACCCCAGCCTCCTCTCATCTCCGGACACAGTGATTCAGCCCCAGGGAACACGGGAACTGCTTGCCGCCCAGCCAACTGCTTGCCGCCCGGCCAGCCACTCCTAGCTGCAGGCTTTGTGTCCAGGCGGTCACTCCTGCCTGTGTTGCCTGTACTCTAGTTGGCAAAACCCACAAACCCTAACAACATACCCCATCTTCTGAGAAGCCCCCTCACCCCCAGAAAGGTCTTCTTGGCCCAGTGTTCTCACAGCCTCATACATGGCTAGCCTGGCCTCTCCCTACATCTTTAGCTAACAGTCCCCTGCCCAGTCCTTCACGGCATCTGCCCTGTGAAGGCAGAGACAAGCTCACTCTCTGTTGGGGCCTCAGCACCCAGGGCAGGCACTGGCTAAATAAACATGAGGCATCTCCTGTGCTACCATGAGAGCCCTTATTTAACAAGTATCAGAACTCTAGCTTCCCCTGAACATTACCTCCATCCCCCCGGGAAGCAGAAACCTAATGTAGCCCAAACTCCATGTCCTGACAGAAAGCAACTAAGACTCAGAGAATTCTGGTAACTTGTCCAAAGTCACACAGCCAAGAATTCACAGAACCAACTCTGCTCTATCCCAGGTTTCACTTCATCTCACTGACTAGGAAAAAATGAATGAGCCAGGCAGTGGTGGCACACCCTTTTAATTCCAGCACTCAGAAGGCAGAGGCAGGTGAATCTCTATGAGTTCTAGGACAGCGAAGGCTACACAGAGAAACCCTGTCTCAAAACAAAACAAAAAGAAGACTACAGAATTCATGAAATTCAAGGAAACCAAGAATGCACAGGAGTCAAGGTTGCAAAGCAAGGAGAGAGGTTCATGTGTGTCACACGCAGGTTGCTGCCAGGGTAACTGCTGCAGGAGACACTGGCCACTACGTAAAGCAGGGGACAGGAATTGTGTCCAGAACAGTCCAATCAGGTGGCTGATAGCCTCAGAGGTCCTCCAGACTTTTTGATCATTCGTTCCTCTCCAGGTCCATGAAGCTGCCTAGAGGAAACTCAGTTTGGTGTCACACACACACACACACACACACACACACACACACACACACACACCAATTCCCATCTAGACTGCATGCAGATTGCAAAGTCTCTGAAACTGTCACAGGAACGTCCCAAACCAAGCCAAGAAGAGTCTGGGGCAAGCACACTCTCACTAATTGCCTGGTACTTCAGTTTGATGTATCAAACAGTTCTCCCCAGGATTTGCTGCTGACCAGCTGGGACTCATGAAAATATGATCGGAAGTTAGCAAAATATGTATACCTTTCCTGGAGCTCACTGCAGTCACCCAGAAGTGTGGGAAGAAAGGGAAAACCAGCTTCAAAGAAACCAGCAACCTTTTCCAAAGTAGCAATAAAAAGCTCCCAGTGCAGTCACCCCTGAGAGCTGTACAAAGGCCCTGTGTGTGACTAGAAATCTACTTGCAAGACCCACAGACCCGTAGTCTCACACTACTGTGGTGTTCTTAGATGCTAGGACTTCGCGTGGACCGCATTCGGCAGGAAAATAGAAAACACATCATACAATTCTGTAAACACATGCTCCGTCGTGCTCAGCAGGTCTAGAAAGGGTGGAGTTTCCTCAAGAATCCAGAAGTAGATGAGAACAAGGGGAGAGGAATGGTGGTTTTTAAGACTTGTCACCGTCAGTGTCTTCAACCTTGACCCCCACTCCAAGCACTTCACCTGTAGTACCATTCCTGGGTTCCTAGTCCAGGACACATCCAACCCTTACAGGGTGCTGACTGTCACTTACCCCAACCCCAAACCAAAAGGCTCTCAGGTCCCATTGTCTGCCTGCCTGGGATGTAGATAGGGACAGAGGAGAGGTAGGCTGCTGACACCTTTGAGGGAAGAAATACCATGGCTTTGGAGACAAACAATGGGTAGAATAGGAGCCCAGAAACTTCTGCTCCATGGCACCAAGCAGCCAGCCCTCAGAGCCCAAATCCACCTGCTCACTCTGAACCAAGCCAAACCCCAAGTGTCCAAAAGGAGACACTGTGCTTAGCGTGTGTGGGAAGCTTTACTCCTGGGTGCCAGGAAGGCTCTCTGGCACCGATTCGCATGTATCCTGGCGGAATAAAGTGTTGAGCGGTGGGAAGGGCCTGTCACCGTGCACAGCGCAAGGGGCAGGTGTGAGGATAGGCTGACAAGCCGTCCTGCAACCTTTGAATCCGGCACCGGGAGACAGCCGCGCTCCTGGCTGCTGGCTCCCAGAATACCTACCAACGCACTGACTCCTCTACTAGCTACGGAGCCCAACAGTATTGCGCCTCCCACCCCATCCCCGGCCCTCGGACGCATCAGGGTGGGAGAGCAACCTGGGTCGGGGAGGAGTCCCAGTGGACGGGTGGAGAGGTACTCACAAGCGCTCTGTGTTCCTTGGGATGTTCTTGGGGATGGCTTGTAACCCCGTGCCATGGCAGTCCACGGTGGTGCCGGTACAGGTGCAGAGGGCGGGGCACGCTGTGGCCCCCAGGCGCCACGCGGCTGCCCACAGCAGCAACCATAGCTCCGGTCGGCTCAACCCCGAGGAGGACCCACGCTGGGGCGTCAGCGCCATGGTGCCCTTACAGTGTCCCGCTCGCGTGCCAGACGGCTGCAACCGCTGACCATCACAGTCTGGGGCCGTCCCCAGGTGCTATCCCCGCCGAGTCACCAAAGAGCCGGGGGAGATCGAGCGATGCGCCCTAGCGGTCCGGGTGGCACCTAGATGCTCCCAGCGACCCCGTCAGTACTCGGACCCAGGAAAGGCGCCTTAAGCGGAGGGCGCACGACTCCTCTCCCAGAGCTCGCTGCCGGCGTCTCCCTCTCCCTCACTCCAGCTCCCAACTGACTGCTGCGAGGAGGAAAATGGGCAGGCCCCGCGCGCGCGCACCTCGCGTGTGCGCGCGCACACACACACGTACACACACACACACACACACACACACACACCCGCTCGCTCACACCCGGCAGTCATCCATCAATCGAATAGCACGCATCCAGGGCCAGACTCTTCCCGCCCCCGCCCCACGGACCACCGCCCGCTTCCTCCCCACCACTCTTCCAGGGCAGCAGAGGCCCAGTGGCTGGCATACAGTTTCAAAGGTGCAACCTCCCAGGCGCCAGGGGCTTCGGGGAAGGGGGGTTGCAGGCTGGACCTGCTCTGTGGGCTCTGAGCCTCTCTCCTCTCTGTGTCTCTGTCTCTGTCTCTGTCTCTGTCTCTGTCTGTGTCTCTGTCTGTGTCTGTCTGTCTGTCTGTCTCTCTCTCTCTCTCTCTCTTTCCTTCCACCCCCCCCCCCACCCTGCAAGGATGTGCACATTAAACCAGTCACTTCAGCACCGCAGCTGCTGGCCCAGAGTAGTAAAGGGACTCTCCCCACCCCCACAGCCACACCTTCCCAGGGACCACAGACTGCTCAGATGGCTGAAGAGGTCACCAGCCCCAACAACCTCCTTTATCAATTGTTGGGGAAGTTTTTGGTGCCAGGTGGCCCTCCAAGCTGCCTACCCTTGCTCAGCTGAGATCTTGAGGGCAGGACCTTAAGAGAACACAAGAGCTCCAGGTTAGCCCCCTTAACACACACTCTCCCCAAATGGCAGCTCCAGGTTAGCCCCCTTAACACACACTCTCCCCAAATGGCAGCTCCAGGTTAGCCCCCTTAACACACACTCTCCCCAAATGGCAGCTCCAGGTTAGCCCCCCTTAACACACACTCTCCCCAAATGGCAGCACCCCTTTTCTCCCTGAACAGAAGCCAGCCGGCTGGGATGGCAAGAGTCCTGACTGGACTCTGTATTGGGGGGCAGGGGTTCCGCCCAAGCCCCTTTACTGGTATACCAGTGAGGAAGCGAGCCTGTCAGGGAGTCTTAGACGCCCGTTCTTCAGGCACACCAGGCATTCTCCACAGCTGACAGGTGGGGATAGATGAAAAGAATATTTGGTCCTATCATCAAAAGGCCACAGACAGAGTGGAGAGAGCACACAGCCTGTTTTAGGAGAAAAGCACCACCCAGACATCTGCCACCTGTATAGGACCCTGGGCGTCACAGTCCCATGGGCAAGGGTTTTCCTCTTTCTGGCATAGCTGGGGGTGTGGGTATGAATAGGAAATCCAGTGAGGGACAGAATTCCCTCCAACCCCAGAAAAGGCAAAGCCCCTCCTCCAAACTAAGGACAGCTGTGACTTGCTGGGGCTCTAAAGAGCTGAGCTCCTGATGTGAGGGAGATCTGGCTAAGACATCTGTCACCCCATTGATCATCAGGGTTGATTGGGTGATCTGACTGGCAATGTGGGTGTCCCCTTCCTCCTGCACAGTTCCATGCCTGTCCCTCTCAAAGCTTTGCCCTCAGCCAAAGAGGATGGCTTTTCCCAATAGCAGATGGCTCTGTTGGAAGCTCCCAGTGAGCACAGCCCCGTAAGTCAGGGTCCCATGTGAGGATAGCACAGTCGGCAGAGGAGGCAGCAGGGACACGCAGGCATAAAATGCTCCCCTAGTGAAGCTGCTGGAGAGCGGCCTCACCTCCCCCTTAGGGAAAGCAGAAAGGGGCAAATCTGGGAGCAGAGGCTAGCCCAGCATGGCAGCATTTTGTTCCCAAGATACTGACGCCTAGAATCTTTGGGGGTTTGTTTGTTTGTTTGTTTTGTTTTCTAATCTGACTAAAATTTTCCAATATCTCCACTGTCATAGTGCATAGGGCACTATAGCCAGAAAGCCACACTAGAATGGCTGATTTTTCAAGCTCTGGATCATGCTTCTGATTACAGTGCATGGCCTCCACCCAGCTATGGACTCTTGAGCACAAATTCAGTAATTCGGGGAGGGAGCTTTCTCAGGGGGTCCTTACGTGGTCCGGTCTCAAAACTTTCCACCATCCAGGCCTGAGTCCAAAGGGCCATTCTCCTCTCTTCCTTGAAAACCAGCCGATCCCCCAGCCTCCAACGCAAGGAAATCCTCATTCTTTAGAGCCTGAATTGTTTTTCCTCGGTAGCTGGAGCTGTTCACACTTGGGCTCCTTCTCTGACACCCCAGGAGCAAAGCACTACCCCCTGGCTTCCTCTCTTCCTCCTTTGGCACCTACCCCAGCATCTGGCACTTAGTAGGCTCATCACAAACAGCACCCAACTGTTGGAGGAGCCTCCAGCCTTCTGTTCCAGTGGTGTTCCACTCCCCGAATCCCATCATGAGGGGGGTGCTCCTGGAAGCCAGAACCCATGTGGGGAAGGGGAGAGTGTTGATTAACTGGGCGACTTGCCCTGGGGTTCTCAGAGTGACAAGGAGAATGGGTGTGGGAGGGGTGAGGGCCGGTAGGAGGGGTGCAAGATGAACTTTGTATATGGTTCTTGAGAGCTAGTCCCTACACTAGAAGCTTCCAGACTAGCCTGGCCAGTGAGTTCCAAGCAGGCCCTAAGCCAAGTTGTCAACGCCTGGCAAGGCCTGGCCTCTCCTTTGAAGAGAGGGAAAGAAGGAGGGCAACTCAGGCCCAAGACAAAGACTCCCCCACCAGCCCATCATGGGAGGCCCTGCCCCAGCAGCCAGGCAGCTCCCCAAGTTGGCTCCCATCCCTGGTTCCTCCACCTCAGAGCCAGGCAGGCTCCCCGATCCTAGAGGCAGCGTACCATGAATGAGCACAGCTCATTAGTGTTCCCGGCGCATTTACTCATTAAACAACCGCTTGGCCAGCCACACACTCCAAGCTACCCCCCCCTTTGCTTTTTCAATTTCCTCTCCTATGCCCCTCCCTCTGGGGGTCTCCTCACCCCCTCCCTGCAGCCCAGGCCACCTGCTCCCTCTGCACGGGTCGGGAGGAGCCTGCCTGGTACATTGCTTCTGGCAGGCATGCTCCGCCAAGCCAGCTCTGCCCGCCATCCACCGACAGGCAACCCAATAGGAGAACACAGGGACCCATCTCCCCATGCTAGTGGGATGGGCCACGCCTGTACTGAGACACCCTCAGCCACGTGTTCGTCAGGTGAGGGCCACTGCCTTCCAGATAACTTTAGAGAGGGTGTCTCCCCTCCCAGTCACCAAGAAGGGGGAACCCAAACTGAAAAAAAACAAAAACGGTGATAGCACGTCTGCCGCCCAGGCTTCCATCACCAGTACTGATGACTCCAGACAGCCCTGGAGCTGGGTTGTTCATCAGAGAATAGAATGAACCTGGTCCTCCAAGCCACATTCAGAAGGGAGCAGAAGGGACGGGAAAGTCTGAGTGAGGTGAACTCATAGGTGGGGAATGCAGGCTGGAGAGGACCAGAAGGGAGGGCACAGAGGCCTGGAGAATCCCTGCAGGACAGGGCACTTCAGAAGACCCCAGAGAACAAGGAGATAATGGTTGGACAGCAACACCGGGTGACCAGCCTCTCAGTAAACAGGGCTGTCAGAGACAGGAAACCAGCAGAGGGGCAGCTCCTTGACAGCAGCGGGGTACAGTTGTTACTTTTCTTCTTGCTGTGAGAAAATGCTCAACAAAGGCAGCTCAAGGAAGTATGCAAAGCACAGTGGTTTATGATTTTTATTAGGTACTCCAGAATCATAGGCAGGCAGGCCTTACGGGTTCAGAGCGTGGTCTCCATTGCAAGCCCCAGGTCAGCCTGGGTTACGTGGTAAGACCCCATCAGAAAAGAAGAAAGGAAAAGAAAGGGAGGGGAGAAGAGGGAGGGCAGGGGAGGGAAGGGAAGAGAAGGGAAGGGAAGGGAAGGGGAGGGGAGGGGAGGGAAGGGAAGGGAAGGGAAGGGAAGGGAGGGGAGGGGAGGGGAGGGAAGGGAACGGTAGGGGAAGGGAGGGGAGGGAAGGGAAGGGGAAGAGAGGGGAGGGGAGGGAAGGGGAGGGGAGGGAAGAGAAGGGAGGGGAGGGGAGGGGAGGGGAGGGAACGGTAGGGGAAGGGAGGGGAGGGAGGGAAGGGAAGGGAGGGAGGGAGGGGAGGGAACGGTAGGGGAAGGGAGGGGAGGGAAGGGAAGAGAAGGGAAGGGAAGGGAAGGGGAGGGGGGAAGGGGAGGGAAGGGAAGGGAAGGGAAGGGAAGGGAGGGGAAGGGAGGGAGGGAAGGGGAGGGAAGGGGAGGGAAGGGAAGGGAAGGGAAGGGAAGGGAAGGGAACGGTAGGGGAAGGGAGGGGAGGGAAGGGAGGGGAAGGAGTCTCCCTGGCCTTTCAGGAGTCCTGGGTGCAGCTGTTCTCTATTGAGTTCTCTGTCACCTGGCCTGTTCTGCTCAAAAACACATCTGGATAAATGTGCTTAGATATGCTTAGAACTTGGTTGCTTTCAGGAAAGAGACCCAGATGGCAGCAGAAGGACAATGTCCACATACACTAATGTTCTACTCCTTGGAAATCTGACCTTGTGTAGAGGGATCTCACTCCCATCCCACAGATCTTTTGGAGAAATCACTCGGGCTGTTTATTATCCATGCCTTTCTACTCAGAACAGAGAAGGGCAGCATAATTCTGCCGTGTGGGTTTCCAGAGACCATGATCTAAGAGTCGAGGTCTAGTGGCCTGAGGTAAGGAGTTCAAACATGCACCTGAGAACTCTAGGGAGGAAGCCGCTGACGGAAGTAGCCTGGTCACGGCAGGGTCCGAGACCGTCTGCCTGCTGCTGTCCTTTACCAGGTATGAGGAATATCAGAAGACAAAGTCCGGAATAGGTTCAGGAACTGACTGTTGGAGCTGGAAGGGAATTTAAAACATACTACATCCTAGGCTGGCAGGATGGCTCGCTGGGTCAAGACACCATTACCAGACATTGCTTTCACTCCAGTACTCACGCAAAACTAACACTAACTAAAAAAAAAAGCTAAGAAAATATCAAATCCAGACCTGGTGGTACAGTTAGTGGCCCAGTGAAGCAAACAAACTAGCTGACCGCTTGTGTCAAAGGATTTGCAGGG